GAGTCCCCTTACAGGATCCTCCAGGAGTGCTCCAGCGAACACCTTCGCAAGAGGTCAGAGCTCCTTTAACTCAACGAACGCGGCTAGGTGATGATAACCCGTTCCTAATGAAGAATATTGGGAAGTGTGGTTTGATCCAGCGGAAATAGACGAACCAACCAACGATCTGATCGTCAGCTGAGTGCCTGTCGCTTCAATGAATCCTTAAATCATGCTCTCCAATTCTGAGCACGTAATTTTAGCGCTTGCCTGCACAAACCAACCAAACCGGTGGATAGCATATGTTACACCAAGGTTAGTACAGTTGGCATTCTTTGGAAAAAAGCTGGAAAAGGCAACATGAAATTCGAGTGGACAAGCACACCGCACAAAACGGACATGACTATTATCCAAGACAGGTTTTGACATCACAATGTAACATTTGTAAGCTACTAGTCTTGCTATGAAACTAAATCTACTATGCAGTACAAAGAAGCTATTTGTAGTTTGGGCAATAATTTAAAAAAGGGACGGTCCGCGATGACTTATGAAAATGCGAGCGATTGTGTGGGGAGGGCAGCGTGGTCCGCAAAGTACAACCCTGGGTCAGTTTTGCGACGGAAAGCCTTGCGGTAAAGGAGTAAATGTGCAAAGTTTCTGCAACAGCTTCTCCGTTTTTCCAGTGACTCCGCCTCCAGATTCCGCCTTCAAAATCCGCCTTCTAGACAAAGCGATGCTACCGGAAAAGTAGCATGAAATGGACCATTGTTTTGACATCACAATGTATCATCATCATATCTCCATTGTCTTTTGCGGAGCAAAAGGGGTTACTACAAGGAAGGAGCCGACTAGACTCGTCCCAACACACGCGGTGTTTTGGCTTTTTATCGGCCTAACCGCTTGAAGCTGGACAGTTCCTATTAGAGGCGTTTCCGACGTTCCCATTGGTATTTTCTCTTTACAGACGAGTCACATAACAGAAAAAAAACAATGAAAAACTGACACAGAAAAAAGAAAAATGAAAAAGAAAAGAGAGAAGGAACTCACAGCTTGCAAGAAACCTTCGTGAACTCCGACGGAACTTCAAATTTATCTCCGATTGGAGTGGGCACCGATGGCGAGGGCTGTGGGGACACCTTCACATGAGAGACTGAAGCCGTCATGTGGGGAGCTGATCGCGTTGACTGCATCTCTGAAAAAAAGGTATAGATCTATCGAAAGGAAAAAAACAGAAACAGTTTTCAAAAATACCAAAGTATCATTTACCGGCAGATGCAGATGACGGTGGCACCGCTAGAGTGGTACGAGCAGATTCTACGCTGGCAGCTGAAACACCACTAAGGATGGAACCTGTCGCTACAGGTCGGCTAACATTGTTACCCGCGCTCCCCTTGGAAATAGTGGAACTTCCCGAAACATTGGATACAGCTGAAAAAGGCAACTTGAACAACAAAAACGGAAAGATTCTTCAAAACTTGAGGGGTAAAGGATAAAATCTTTGATTAATCCCTTGTTGAAATGCGGCACGCATTACTTCCATTCAGAATCGCAGTGGCTTATTGAATGCGATGTGGCCTATACAATGACTTGCGGGGGCCAGCCGATGTACAAGTCAGGTCTTATCCTCCCAGACGATTTTGGTAGTAATTTACCGAACCAGGGTGGAGAGGGCTTGCTTGGCCTGGGAGGAACAGATCCCGGAGTGTGCGCGTGGTAAGCGTGCTATTGCCATTACACCACCTCCCCTCACAACAAAGCATAAATAGGGCTAAACAACCTTTTTCAGTCAAGCGATTTTTAACAGAGCCGCGAATTTAGGGAATGCATAGATGCGATACTGCCAGCGAAGGAAATCTGGCACAGTTCAGCGACGGAGGGGGGGGGGAGGAGGGTATTTTGCAGTTTCTTCGCTTTTTCACTAGTTCCGATATAGAA